ACACACACACACACACACACACACACACACACACACACACACACACACACACATCTGAGTCAGGTTTTCATTCATTCAGACCCATAATCTGCTCCTGGTTTTCCGGGCGGCTGGTTCTGAACAGCAGATGTCACATCTGTGTGGACTCACAGGACCAGAACTCCACTTTGTGGTGAAAACCAAAAGAATGTGTTTCCTGTCAGAACCAGAACCGCTCCGTTCTGGATCTAACTACCGGAGCAGCAGATCTAGGATCCGGTCTGTCCTCGGGTACCGGTCCAGACTCCTCTCTGACCTCCACCTGAACTCTTCTGGAAGGTGAGGTTTTGAGATGCCTGCAGGTCGAGGCTACAAGAACCAACATGTGGCGACGGGCCGGCGTCACACCCGCCTGACTGCTGAGACACGTGTCCAGGAGACCCCCACATCGTGTCAACGTGTGTCTCACTGAGACACTTTGTCCTCTGTGATGGACAGAGGAGGACACAAACAGTAATCAGACCTGCAGTTTGAACACAGCCTCACGTTCAGAGACGTCCAGGAGCTTCAGAAAAATAAAAAAATCCTAATTACTTTTGTGGTTAAACCCATTCAAGATGGCCGCCATGACTAACGACCCTCAGACACAAAAAAGTCCCACTAGAGCTGCATGACATGTCGTTTGAGCGATGAATCAACGTGTTATCTAAGGACTAAAGCACAAGTCACTGCACTAACAGGCTTTTATTTTGACAGGTCGCTTCGTGCCAAAATAGTTCAAACTTTCATTTTGTTGTGAAACTTCTGGGACGATTGTGGCAACGTTTTTCTGAAGTGTCGGTGACAGCGCGGGTCTCGACGAAAACGAGGAAGATGAGAAAATTTTCAGGGAACTGGAGGAAAAGAGCTAAAATATAAACAACACGTTCGGTAAATTCATGTTTGCAGATGATGGACTGAAATATAAGTCAGGTCCAGAACAATAAATGATAAAAACAATAAGTGAAAAACAGATCAGTTCAGTGTCAACAACACGGCAGCACAGGTCAAATCATCTGATGAAAATTATTATTTTTGTTTTTTTTTGATATTGCGATATTAGAAAACATCGAAATGTCAGATTTTAAATATCACGCAGCTCTAAATCCAACTCATGAAGTTTAAAAGATAATAAGTTATAATCTAAGCAGAGATCAGTCTAAACTCTATAAATTATATTAATTATAGAGATTAAGTTTTATATTTCTGCTCCACAGAGAAAGGAGGAAGTTAAGATTATTAAATCATTCAGATTAAAACTGTATCTGAGCAGCTCCTTTATTTACATGTTGTGTTTTCAGCTGGATTAAAAATGTAAACATGTTTTTAATCAGAGCAGATTATAATCCAATCATTGCAAGTTATAATAATCCACAGTTCTGCAGCGGCTCGGATCCATAATCAATAATCAATAATCGGGTCTCTGCCTCCGGGTTCCGCAGTGGTCCACACGCGCACGCACGCGGATGGAGAAACGCCTCGTCATCCCGGACGTGCACGCGCCGCGACAACCTTCAGCTCCGCGGATCGATCAGTAATCGATACTCACCTTGTAGAAGATGAGCTTCAGCGTGCCGTAGAACCCCATGTTGGCGGCGGCGGAACCGAGCCGAGCCGAACCGCGACGAGAAGCTGAAGCCCGAACCGGACCCGCGCAGTCCCGGATCAGTGGTCCGTCGGAGCAGGGACCCGCGGACGGACCTGCTCTCTCTCTCCGGCTGTGTGAGGCTCGAGCTCCGGCAGCAGCATGACCCTCCCTCCGCCGCGTGCACGCGAGGGCGGAGCCGTGCTCCGCGTGCGTGAGAGTGATGCAGGATGGTTTCCGCTCAGTAAATCATAACAAACCGGTGAACAGAACCAGAACTTCTGCTTAAATCCGATTATTTAAATATTTTAATGTAAATTAAAACGTCTGTTAGCAAAATATCTCACGAACCACTGGACAGGTTTCAGTGAAACTTTCAGGAAACAAAGACCGGATGTGGGTCTACTGATTATTAGTGTTTAGGGGGAGGGGCCACTTCAAGATGGCCGCCACAGCTAATCAATCATGTCAAAAACATGAATGTACAAGTCGATCTGTGACAGACACGAGGTGAAACCAGGTGTGGTAGTAGCTGAGTCACCCCGATCTGCAGGTGATGGAGGCCGACAGGCAGCACTCCTTTAATAAAACCTTTCACTGAAACTGAAGCCACAGGTGAGGACGCCACCTGTTGGCTGGTTACAGAGCAGGTTAAGCCCCGCCCCCTCCACGTAAACAAACAGGACTTTTTTCATGTGGTTTAGTTGATTCTTGTTTGGTCGAACAATAAGTTTTATTTATTTATTTGAGGTTTAAAGATAAGTATTGTGTTCCGCTGAAGGAGGAGGCGGGGCTTCTGCTCTAAAAATTCAACATGGCTGCTCCGAAAACAAAAATAAATAATTTGTCTTCGGTTCTGATCGACCCGAGGAGTCGCTCCCAGAACTTGTGTTTAGACCCCTCAGTTTTTAACCCTTTCAGCAAAAATTACAGTTTAATGACAAAATCAAAACTAAGGGGAAAAAATCATTGTTGATTTTGTTTCTAAACTTTTATAAACATTTACACCAAGAAATTGACAGTCAGGAAGCAGAGAGAAAAAGCAGGTAGGCCTACAGATATGTGGACTGAGCTAACAGCAGCAGCCAGCTGTAGCACTTCAGATGCAGTCTGAGGTGACTTCACAGGAATATCCTAAACTCTGATCTGTTCCAGTTTAAACCTGTTCAGTAGCTGAAACTCATCAGTTTGTGTAAACAAGGGTCTGGGGTCAGAGAGTGGTATCTTGGAGGTCCTCAAAAAATTGCATTAAATTGTTAATTTGGTTTTTATTTTTAAAAATGAATGGAGAACAATGAACTAATAAAACAAACATAATAAACTAAATTAAAATATTTATATTCTCATGTCATTTAGGGGTTGAAATGACAGTAAATTATCTTTTAAAACAGCATGAGGTTTATGAGGGGGTCCCTGGAGTTTTTTTGCCCTTGTAAGGGGTCCCCAGACCCAGAAAGTTTGAGAAACCCTGGTGTAAACCATACGTGTCAAACTCGAGGCCCGCAGGCCAAATCTGGCCCTCATTAACATCCAGCCCTAAAAGTAAAACTTTAAATGTAAAACAGTTTTATAGTTTCTGCTTTTGTCAGTGCATTTTTATCATTGGTTTGTGTTTTAAATTCTATATAAAACAATTTACAAAAGATTATTTACATTTATATAAGAATAATTTATTATATAACATTTTTTTCAATAATGACAGAAACTGGTTCTTGGCTTGGATGGGTTTTGAATTTTGACCCCCCTGGTGTAGATGATGAAACCAGCTGACCAGCATCCATCATTACTTTACAAACATGTTATTACACATCTATAAACACTGTGGCTTTACAGCCTCTCAGTGACACCCAGCAGGGGAGGGCTGCACACACACACACACACACACACACACA